GCCCGGATCTGGAGCTCAGAGTCTGAGACTCCCTCCTGATTGAAAACGACAACCGCGCCCTCAGCCACCTGCAGGCTCCACGCGCACCTCCGTACCTTTGTATTTTCCACACTGCGCCTCCTCTGAGCCTCGGTATGCTGTTCTCTTTCCTTCTAGTTGAAGAATCTCTCCTCAGCCAGCCAGCCTTCCTGTGGTTCTGGGTGATGTCCGTTCCGTCTTTCAGTTGTATTTTTGAAGTGGTTGTTTGCGGCAGCAATCTCCGATGTTTACCTATGCCGCCATCCTGGTTTTCCTTCCTTTTTAAGTCTTTTGAGGTTAGCTTTTTCAATTAGGTCCTCTTTAAATCAACCACAATTGTATTATTAGTATGTTTACATTTTAAAGCTGATCTGAATGTGATGGATAAATGCAGATAACCAATATGCAAAACAAGTTAAATACCAGTGTTTAGATAGTCATTCATCCTTCCTTGATTCTAGAACCTTGTTTTACACCTTTCCCTGACAGGCAAAATATCCATATTTTAACATAGAAATGGAATGGAATGGATTTGACATTGAAACAGTAATACTATGATTTTAGCATCTTCAGAATGTCTAACAGCTATGAAGAAACATTGCCAAAAGAGTTTATTCTCAACCAGTTTAGAGATAATTCACAGAAAGCATAGTACAGTTTGGGGTAAAATATACTTAATGAAGTGATTCTCAACCTTACAACTATTCTTTGGGCTGAATAACTTTTTTTCTGGTGGGAGACTGTCAAGTATATCATCATCCCTGGATGCTAATAACACCTACCCCATTCCCTAAATTGTGACCACAGAATATATCTTCAGGCATCACCAAATGTCCTCTGGGGCAAAATCACCCCCAGTTGAGAACCACTGACCTAGAGACTAGTGGTCCTGATGGAAGAGAGCTGAGAAAGGTTGGATGGCAGGTCTGGAAAGGTAGATGTGGCAGACTGTATTTGCTGAAACTGTCTCTAACACTTCCTGTCCCATGTGCTCTTCCAGACCTTGTCAGTCTCCCATCAAAAGGCAGAATCAACCTGGGCAGACCTTTGAGACTGCCTCCACTGTGAGTGTGCAGCAGGTGTCATGCTATGCGACATTTCCGCTGTACACTAGCCGGTCAGCAAAATCAACACTGCTCTGCCGGGTTGTTCCTCTCTTCGTCTCTCTCTGGAGATGTTTGTCCTTAGAACCCAGCCACATACCACGACCGTAAGGGAGCACAGACCACATGGAGAGCTCTACATGGAGAGGCACAAAGGCTATTTCCCTGATCCCCGAATGACCTTCCAGCCAGCAGCCTGCACCAACTTGCCAGGCATCTGAGAGGGCCATCTTGGAGACAGATCCTCCTGAGACCACATGGAGAGCTCTACATGGAGAGGCACAAAGGTATTTCCCTGATCCCTGGATGACCTTCCAACCAACAGCCTGCACCAACTTGCCAGGCCTCTGAGAGGGCCATCTTGGAGACAGATCCTACTATTGCAGTTGAGCCTTCCCAGTTGACACTGTGTGAAGCAGGGATGGTCCTTCTCTTCTGAGTCTGACCCAAATTGCAGAGTCACTGGCAAAATAAATAATTATCATTGTTTTAATCCATTAAGCTTAGAATGGTTTGTTACAAGGCAATAGATAATTACAGCCATAGAATTGGTAGAGGGTAGTTCATGTAGACCTGCGTATGTATGTAGGTCAAGATTTGAATTCTGGATATATTGAGGACTATGAATTGCTATCCTAATGAGTGGCATACCGTGAGGTGTATCTGAAGGTAGGTTTGGATCTAGTAAATTGCTTGGAGGTTGGAAAATGGAGCACTTGAGAACTGTTAGTAAATACTCAAAGAGAAGCAAGAAATAGGTTTCTGTGTTCGCTAAGGTAAGGTGGATGATCAATAAAGACAGGGATATGCGGGAAGTTTAGCAGCAAGTATGAAGGATACGCTTGAGGGGAATTTGGGGTAAAGGCAAGATGGAAATGCCATTGAGGAGAAGCTAGAATCCAGATTGAGGATGGCCACAGGGACTCTGGGGCACCTGGAAAGAACATGACATTTAGCTATCATGCCATTCTCCCTGACAAGGATCAGGGTCTGAAATGGAGTTGAAGGTACTAAACAGAGAGGCAGGGGCTTCATGGTACACTGCACTGGAGAATAGTTAATCTTTACTTAATAGTGAGATACAACCAGCTACCAACAAGCAGAGAGGCTCCTGAGCATCCTGGGTGATAGTGCAGATTCTAAATCTTCACTACATCCCTTGCTCACTGCATGGCATGGAGCAATCACTGTGTTTCTCCATGCCTCCAACTTTCTTATAAAATAGAGACAATAATAGAAACTATCAGGGTTGCTGTGAGGATTAGGTAAAATAATATCTATAAAACACTTAAATAGAGCCTGGTACATCTTGTGTACCCGATAAATGTTAATTTTTAGACTACATTTTCCCTTGTGTTGAAATGCATCATGGGTCCGGAGCACCTGGCAACAGTCCCCTAAACAAGCATTTGGGCTGGAGCAGGCAGCACACCCCACTATTGTCAACTATTTATACTCCTGTTTATCTCTATTCAGCCCTGTAAATTGGGGTGTCTTTTGCTATGTCCCACAACAATAAATAATAATCAGAATCATTGAAATGA